ATTACTATTGCTACTATTGCTATCTCTATAAGAATCATCGTCACTATCACTACTAAAATCATTAATATTCTGAACTTTATCCTGCTCACTTTTCTTTTTTTTGTATTATTAAGTAAACTATCATAATCAAACATCAAATTATCCTCACTTTCATTTCTAGCAACAGAAATTCCATAACATTTAAATGACTTTTGAATTAAAGAAATATCTATACCAGCCCATGATTTTTTACCCATTCAGCTACAATAGCATAAGAAGAACGTTTAATTCTTCCAGCAGGTGTTAATTCGCGAATTTCAGAATTCATCCATTCATTATAATAGTAATACAACTTTGCTTTAAAGCTTTTATTAATAGCTACATCTAAAGGTTGTAATTTACTTGTAAGACCGTCAGGAATGATTGCAATATTAGTTTGCTTCTCATTAAATCTATTTTTAACTGATTCAACAAGATGTCCACGAAAAGAATCTAAAACTAATAAAGATCTTGGGTTGTTAAATGCATTTCTTTGAGTCCATACATTCTCAATCCACCAGAGTATTTTCTGTTCATTACACCATCCTTTTTCATTTACGCATATATGAATTCCTTAAGGAAATGATTCACTTGGTATATTTTTAAGCTTAAAAATACAAACAGCTAGTAGTTTTGTACTATTAGCCATACATCCTAATATAATAGTAAAATTTGTTTTTTCATGACCAGTAGTTCGTATATTAACAGTTGAAGTACCACGATGATCTAAAGTAGTTGAATAAGGTAGATCAAATGTAACCGATGTTTCATCCATATTGCCAATATATTTTAACAGATAATCATATTGTATTTGTCTATATAAAACAAAACTTAAGAAATTTTGCTATTTTATCAAAAGATCATCAGGAAGATGTTGTGCAATATGCGTTCTTCTTTTTGTAATAAGATCATATCTTTTCATAAACCCTCTAACCATGCTTCAGAAAATTTAAATTGAGTAATAATTGGATATAGATCTATCCATTTTTTTTCCTTAGCAATTATTTTGGCTCTTCTAATTAATATATTTCATGTAATAGCTTTTGCATTCTTGCGTAAATCAGATACCTATAGAAAAAGATTTTTTTCAAATTCTGGAAGTGTTGCACTTTTACCTTTATGTAACTTTTGTATATGTTGTGCTACACTTTCAAGTTGAGACTTTTGGTTCATCAAATAACGGATTTGTTTTATTTCTATATCAAACCTTCTTGCTGCTAAACGTTTGCTTCCACATTATTTAGCATGACTTACTATAAGTAGCTTTTCACAAGCACACCACTTCCTTCTTTTTTTTGTTGTTATCCGTACTTTTTTGTTTTTACCTTGATGAATAACCATATTATTATACTTAAAAAATCATAGATAAATGAAACAAAGAAACAAAAACAAATTTATGAATTTAAGTTTTGTACAAAGGGGTAAGAACATGATTTTGATCTAAAAAATGATAATCTGTGATTTTCGTATCCTTTTAATCAAAGTCACATTTTAGATCATCAATATTTTTTTAATTATATTTAACTGATTATAAATATAGTAAAATAAAATAAATTTCTGTGTATCCTCCCTTTTATTCAAAGTATCCCCTATAGTATAATACTCTTCAAAATTCTTAAATTTGTATGATACTTGGGTACTATAGTCCACCGTTTATAGTACTCTTTTCAACCTTAGAATAAAATTTCATAAAGCAAAGTCAGACATCAATAGCTACGCATCCTAGGATTTTGAGATGCTTTGAATGAAATGATATATCATTAATTTTTATTGCATTATATTAGTATTGCCATTTTGTAATTTTTTCAAAGCTTGAATGCTTTAATAACATTTGATTAAATATCCATTCGAAAACCTCTAATTTTTTCGCCTTCTCCACAATAAATCTCCAATCATATTGTGAATCATTAAAACCTATTTGTATATCTGAGGCTAGTAGTTTCTAATACAAGGCGAAGGTTTTTAACAGATTTACTTATTTCTTGCATATAATTGTAATCCAACGAGGGTCTAGAGCAGTTTCAACATTGACAAGACAGATCTGTTTTAATAGATTAGGGTCATCTTTCTAATGAAATGACATGCCAATCATAAATACGTTAGATTCATTGCTCTGTATAGTAAGGAATTTACCTAATTTGAGTGAACTATATGTCTCTATGTCTCATGTGAAAACAAGAGTTCAATCTCATGAAAGGGTCGAGGAGAATAATGGATTATTATAATCATCCTCATTTATTGAATTGTAATTATTTACAGAAACTTAGAAGCGATAAGTATCCCTTGAATATATTCGTAAAAATAATTACTTAACATTGTCCAACTTGAAAGAGGTAATCTTTCTTCACAGGTTATTTTGCGGTAATAATACTAGTAGTTTAGATCATCTGAGGCTGTACACATTCTAACAGCACAGACCGCTTTTAATACATTGTACCGGTCATAGTGGTTCTATGTTCTCACATGGATATATAGTTTCTTTTTTATATGGTATTCTTGAAGTGGGTAAGTGCTAATAGTCTCAATCTCAAACTTTGATGTGCTATTGAGAATATTAGATAGTATCCTTACTAATTTGGTCTTAAATATAAATAACGGCATATTTTTAAGAACTTTGACATCAAAGAAGGATCAGATACCTGTAATATTCACGACTGCTTTTTGTCTATTAATCAAAGAACTAGTGATACGCAAAATATAGGTGGAGACCCCATTTATATATTTAGTATCATCACTAACTTCAGTAGGCATGAAATGTATGAGTTGCTTGCTGGATAGGCTTTGTTGAAGTATAGCAATCATCCCGTTATCATATTCTACTATGATCTTATTACGTAATAGAACACTGGCTAAAGGGTCAATGCCATCATAGCGAGTGAGAGTTCTGTGATCAGTTTGGTCAAAAATAGTTGAGGTATACATGTTGACAGTAAGTAAAGTTATTATATCACAATATATTTCTGAAATATTTAATTATTTTTTTGATGAATATAAAAAAAGACATATAGTAAGCTAGTAAGTAAATTGCAAATAAAAGGTAAGTAAATATATAATTGAAAGTAAAGCCTTTTGCGTATTTTATTATATAAATATTAGCAGAAGGCTTCATTTTTCTAGACATATATTCAAGTATGATATGAAGTCTTCTGCGTAATTTATTATATAAATATTGGCAGAAGGCTTCATCTTTCTAGACATGTATTTGGTATGTTATTCAGGGTATCCTTCTCTGTATTTTATTATATAAATATTGGAAGAAGGATATCCTATCACTAGTATGTACCCGGGTATGGCATAAAGCTACATCTCAATAGTATGTATCCAGGTATGGTATAGCCTTCGCATAAGACTTATCCTTCCTAGATGTATATCTGAATATGATATTTAGAGTATGTACTCAGGTATTGTATAGCCTTCGCGTAAGACTTCATCAAAAAATCATAAAGAAATACAACTTGATATACCCTAAAAAGTTAGCCTTCTGCGTAATCAATTATATAAATATTGGCAGAAGCCTTCATTTTTCTAGATATGTACTTGGGTATGGTATAAATAGATTGACTATAAGAATACATATCACACTTATAACCTCAGACGTGAAATTGACATACATGTACTAGCGCAATAGTTGAATTACGAAATGTTTAAAATATTGACAATCAAATAGGCTGACTATGATAATACAAATCGCATCACTAATACTCTAATCAACCAACTATAAATATATCACCAGTTTTGGGGCATAAAATCAGCATATACATACTGGCAACAAATAGGCAATAGTTGGGTTGTAAAATGACATCAGCTTCGATCTTTCAAATTGTATACCTCAAAATCACTTTATTCTGGTAATCAAATGGGTTAAACATGACCTCTTGAAAGTTACACAAATTGAACTTTTTTATATGTAATACTTGCAAGAATATTACTATGCCCGATATTTACTCTATATTTGATTAAGATAAGATAAAAAATATGATAGAAACACTTACGGAATATGAATATACTTTATAAGATAAATAAGATAAACATTATGCTTGCTCGTTTTGTAACAATAGTCTAACAATATCTCGTATAATTATGAAAAGCATTTTAGGTGACAGATCATCCCTGAAATTTTGCATGACAGGCTGTCATTGAAAATAGAGGTAGCAAATTAACTGTGCTATCTGTCATCTTTTTTTTTACACCACTTTAGCCCCTAGAAAAGCAACCAAATAGGCACAAAGGAAAAACATTCTAACATAGAATCTAGCATCCAATCAAGCACAGGAGGCCAGCATCCTCAACATAAAACCAGATATCCAAACAGCTACAGAAGATCAACAACCCTATTATAGAATTTAGCATATAAACAACTCAGAAACAAGAAGAAAATCGTAGTATTTAGATTATATAGTGGTAGTTAGATTAAATAGTGGATAGTAGTTAGATTATATGGTGGTAAAAAAAAACAGATAGTAAGAAAGATTTAAAAGGATAATTAGAGCATAAAAAAGATACCTAATATGTAAAAATAAATAGATTATATAGTGGTAATTAGATTATATTATTTAGATTATATGGTAGTAATTAGATTATATTATTCAGATTATATGGTGGTAATTAGATTATATGGTAGTATTCAGATTATATGGTGGTAATTAGATTATATGGTGGTATTCAGATTATATAGTGGTATTATAATTTAGGGTAAGTGGAATACTACCATATAATATAATTATATTATATGGTGGTATCCCACTCTATATCAAATGTGTTAATACATTGTCATCATCTCATCCTCATATCATGATCTATTTAAGATCTTGTTTTTTTTGTTTGTTAAGCCAATCTGATATTTATGCAGCATCATTTAAAAGTGATTTTGCCGTAGGTCAAAATTTTTTGATTGTTGTATATATATCTTTACTGAAGAATATATGTGAAAGATATTTGCCTTCTAAGTATCTCCTTTGTATGGTTGCTCCTATTTTACAATGCTATGTCAAGAATTGAATATCATCTATTATTTCATTGGTAAACCTTTTTTCTTTCTTAAATGCAACTACTTCAACGTTTAGGTAATAATTGTGTTTATTCACAATTGTATTGATGAAAATTGCAAAATCTGAATTATTTACTTTTAGACAAGAGACATTGACATACTATAGATATGCTATTTTTTGCTACTAGTTCTTTCATAGATTTAGATGTATATTTTCTTCTGTATTTACATATATACATCCTTTATTTAATAATATCACCCTTTTTAACAACTTTATCTTTTATCACTCTAAATCCTTTAGCTTTATACCAATTAATAAGAAACTGATCACATATTGACTAGCTTATAAATACTTTTTCTGAAAGATCTGTAGAATTACTTTTAATGTTAGAACTCATAAGGCTCTATATTCTATGACTGTTTTCACTAAAGTTAGAAGACAAGAAATAAGAAAACAAATATCACGATGATAATACAATGCAGAAATAGAACAGTTGTAAGAATGCATTATAATATCTTAATTGTAGAGAAAAATATCACTATGATAATACAATTCAAAGAACAGTTGTAAGAGTGCGTGATAGTGTCTTAGTTGTAAAAAAAAATATCATGATGATAAAAATAATAAAAGAATATGCGTGATAATAGCTTTGCAAATACTATATTAATTACATAATATACATCCAGATTCTTCCTATTTTTAGCTAATTTATCTAATTTAGGTATTATGTAAGTGTATTTTTATTTATATATTATTTAACACATATACGTTTATGATATTATAGGGTTGACATCAACCGGTCAATAAAATACATTTTTCTTTCCTTATTATTTATTTAGAACAATAATTTCAATTATTCTAAACAAATAATAATTTAATTATTTTAATTGAATGATTTTTTATCATTTGTTTAGAATGATAATTTTAATTATTCTAAATGAATAATTCTTTTATCATTTATTTAAAACAATAATTTCAATTATTCTAAATAAACAGTTTTCTTATTATTTATTTAAAACAATAATTTTAATCATTCTAATTGAATAGAGATCAGTGTCCCTAGTTCAGTTGATAACAACTGAGCTCCTATTGTGGGTTATACTACAATAGCTATAAGTTCAGGCCTTAGCTGAGGCATAAAACTAGATAATTTTTATAAGAATTTCATATGTAACTGAACATGTAGGCGTATAAACTAATATGCATTAGAAACTGGTTGATCGATTTATCGATCAACGTTTATCATGCCTAAATACTAGGTTTGAATAATAAGTGGATGCAAATGAAACTAGGGATCGACAGAAACTTGGCCTTCGCTGATAGGTCTGTAATAGATACTGTCTCACGTCTTCAAATCTCAGGGGTCTTTACACAAGTAAGGAAGTGGTAAACCAGTCATTAGTAGATCTGGAGTGTACTACAGACTGACTTGCACGCTGCAGCTGTAGGCCAGATCTTGTTACTATTAAGGTTAGAGGCTAGGTTTGATTCCTGGGTGAGTTTGACGCTATAGGTACAAAGCTATTATTCATATAAGAACCTGATCCCTTGATCTCAGAAGTTAATAATAGGGTAAAACCCTATAAGTGTTTAGTAAAAATAGTGCGTCAATCACTATGGCTGAAGTAAGCCCTCTATCCAATTCTGGTAACCAGTAAATAAATCCATTTGGGATCAGTTGATACAGAAAACTGGGATCAAACCCAGTTGACTATAAGATTATACACTGATAGCAACCCGCATAGGTAGGTATAAGTAATGAGGTTGCATGCTGTTCATTCACATGAGACCTAAGAAGAAAGGCAGGTTAAGACATTGTGACTTCCTCAACCTTTATCTTCGAAGTGACGCACTGTAAAAACAAAAAAAAAATCATTCTATTTGAATAATTTTTTATTGTTTATTTAGAACGTTATTATCATTTTAAATTAACGATTCTTTTATCATTATATTCTTTTATTATTCATTTGTAATGATAATTCAATCATTTCAAATAAATGATTTTCTTATTGTTTATTTAGAATAATAATTTAATCATTTTAAATGAATAATTTTCTTATTATTTATTTATCTAGAATGATATTATTATCATTCTAAATAAATAATTTTCTTATTATTTATCTAAAATAATTAATATTATTATTCTAATTAAACAATTTTCTTATTATTCATCTAAAATTATATTAATATTATTCTAAACGAATGATTTTCTTATTATTTGTTTAGAATAATTAATATTATTATTTCAAATGAATAATTTTCTTATCATTCATTTAGAACAATATTATTATTATTCTAAATAAATGATTTTTTTTATTATTTGTTTAAAATGAACTATTTGAAATTTTGGATTAGATTTATAATCTGAAAAAAATCTAAACTGAACAAAAATTTTCAGATTAATCTGAACTGTTTAAAGCTTTATATATAAATTGAAGAAAGTCTTTAGCCTTTTACCTTTAACTATTTGTATTAGTAGATATAATACTCTTATAGCTATTGCTATAAAAAGAAGCTTAAGTAAAAAGACAACTTTCATTATAAAATAAACACCTGTAAACTCTATTATTTAATATTAATATTAATTAAAAGAAAATATTCTATTGATCAACATTGATTATATATAAATATTGGGTTTAAAGAATATGTATCTACAAATGAAGTTAGAGATCAATAGAAACTTGGCCTTCACTAATAGGTCTGTAATAGATACTATCTTATGTCTTCAAATTCAGGAGCTCTTACACAAGTAAGGAAGTAGTTAATCAATAATTAGTAGATTTGATATCTCCTTCAAGTAGGCTATGGTGATAATAGACTATATTGTAAGCTGCAACATCATCCAATCGAACTATCATTAAGAATAGAGATTTTCAGGTAAATTTGACTTTATGGATACAAAATCACTATCTATGTAAAGGATCTAATCTCATAAATTCAGAAGTTATCAATAGGATAAAACTCTATAAATTAGATTGGTAAAAATAGGGTGTGATAATCTTTATGGTTGAAGTGAACCTTTTATACAAAGGTAATGTGATCTAGTGAGTCTATGATGGTGGATTAAATTATTATAGATAATCTATACTAGGTAGTAAACCATTGAAAATGTGCTTCTAGTGCTAGATTATTATATCTCTTAATTATGAATTAGAACTTTAAAGGGTTACTTCAAGGATAATATTTACCATATCATTCCGAAATTAAGCACCTCTCAAAAATAATCACCCCCTGAATTATTACAGTTCTGAAAATAAGCACCCCTTCAAAAACTGTAAATTTTTTTAGTTGTTTTAGTAATTAACAAATAAATACTTAAATAAATATTAAATTGTTATCAAAAACGTGCATTTTTTATATTTTTATTATATTGCAAGATTCCCATTACCGATCTGTAACATTTTTTATTAAAGCATTTATATTAATTAAACTAAACCACTATGGCAAATATTTGGCATCATCATCACTATTAATGACATTATTATCATTGTCAATGCCATCATCGACGTTCTCATTATCGCCATCGACAATATCATCATTATTATCGACGTCTTCATCGACATCCTCATCATCATCGCAATTGATATCATCATCACTATCAATATCATCAACTTCATAACCATCGATATCACTAGTTATTTCATCATCTGATCTGTTTAAAGGAGTTGATACCTTGCAAGTTTCAAAAAACTCTATAATCATTTCATTTGGGATTTCTTTTCAAGCATGTTTAATCCACCCACAAACATCGGATAATTTAGCACAAAGAAGATTTCCCATAGGAGTTACTCCGGCATCACCTTCAGCCATCCAAAGATGCCATTCTTTGTGAAGATTATCCTTGAATAGCTTATTAATAGTGACATCGAGTGGTTGACAAATGCTGGTTAAACTACCTGAAATAACTGCTAAATCAATGCCACTATCACGAAACTTATTCTTAACAGATTCTTCTATATGTTCTCAAAAGGAGTCGTATACTATCATCATTAAAGCATTATTAATAATATCATTAATATAATCAACGTATCTTTTTATCAAAATAATATCCATCCATCCATTTTTTTGAAACCAAGCGATAACACCAGATGGAATTTGTTTGCCGCGTGGTAATCATTTTCCTTTAAAGATGCAAATCGGGGGAAATTTTATTCTATCTGTATATAGAAAATGTTTAATTACAGTAATTAAAAAAAAATCTTCAAATTTTGCAGGAATAATAAAACGATTCCTACCTGTGGCACATGTCAAAACAACCGTGAATCGATTTTTTTCATTTTCAGTCTCGCGAATATAGACTGTCTTTTTACCTGTTTGATCGATAGTAAAATTTCCTGCCATGTCGAACCAGACAGGAGTTTCGTCCATATTGAACAATTCAAACAATTTTTCAGTTCTAAGGCGGATAATAAATTAATGAAAGTTTTTTAGTAATTCATTGATTTGTGTAGGAAGCCTTTAGGAAATTCTGATACGACGCCGTCGAGATAGCTTATATCTCTTCATAAAAGCAAACATCCAACAAGATGATGTTTTAAATGCTGAATTTTCATAAAGGTTTATCATCTCAGGCTTCTTTAAGATGTCTAGCATTTTAACTCGTGCAATCGCATAAATAACGCCAAATCCCTATTTCCTCTACTTTATAATCTATTTATACAGCTTTTTTTCAGCTTCGGGGTAAAATTCTTTTCGTCCAGCACCAACTCGCTTGACATTTTGATCTATCTCAGCCTATTTATTGCTTATCTTAATCTAATGACCAACTATGCTACCATCAAGTCTAAAGTGTCTCGCAGCTTCATTTCCTTGGCATAATTGACGACTTGCCTCTTTTGCTCAATAGAATATGAATTTCGACTTTGTATAACGCGTTTAAGAGCCTTTTTTCCCTTTTTATTTCTTGACTGCATGCGTGAATAAGGTATTTTAAAAACAACAAGAATGCAGCAAAAAAACGCAACTTTTTTAAGAATCGTAAGTTACGTTACTTCATATATATCATACTATTTGCATTACATTACATAAAAAAATCGGCGATTGTTATTAATAAATTCATCAAAATTTATTACTAAAATATTATTAAAATGAAATTTTTTAAAAAATATCTGAAATTAAGCACCCCTATAACAAAAAAGGGATGCTTAATTTCAGAATAATACGATACTTAGCAATATAAGTATTCCTCTAGTAAGCTCTTAAGCCAATTGTACATTAATAAAAAAAAAATAAATAAATTAATTAGCCACCTATGCATATCTTATTATACCTATTTTATACTAATAGATTGCTTGTTGTTTCAATCTCAAAAAAATGTAGAATAGATCTTGATTAGATTTATTCTAATTTTTTAAGCTTCTTTCAATTTATTTATTGTAACTGTCTTAAATTCCTCAT